TCAACAGTCTTGCACAATTCACAGCGCTTACCAGAGCACATACCCTCCCCAGTGTCTATCACCCAGTCACCCCATCCCTCCCACCCCACCCCCCACTTGCTCTTAATTACTAAGCCCCAAACCCATGGAAAGAAGACAAACCAGGACTGTCTTCCCACCACATAAATACAAAGTTTAATAGACATTTTTTCATTTTCTGATGATTTTATGTAACAGTTTTAAGTAACGCCCAAATATTCATATAATAAAGGACATATTTTTTCTCTCAGTTGGATCCTCTGTGTATGGAATTGGTAATCCAATATAAAAAAGCCCATTTTGTTTTAACTGTGCTGCAGTTTTCAAACCTCTCATGAAGACACATGTGCAGTTCTGGGAATATCCAGGTCCTTGCAAATCTACATTTTCTTCATCAAGGACTGAAGAAAATCACTAGCAGCTGTTGGCCCTCTCACCCCTGGGACCTTCACCCTACATTGCTCAGCATGTAGCCAATCTCACAGGGTCAGGGCCCTAAGTATCCCATCCGAGCTCAGAGGATTTGGGTACAAAGGGCCCTCACTGTAAACGTGGAGTCAGCCACTTGGTTCTTTCTACCACTATCCACATAAGGAGTGTAGAAAAATGGCAAGGACACATGTGAAAGGAAGCAGAGTCCTTGGTTTAGACTCCAGCCCACAGGCTCTCCCACACATACCTGATGTAGTCACCAGGATGCAGTAAATGGCTCAGCAAGGAAATGTCATGCACCTCAGGAGTCACTGAAAGCCAAGCTTTACCCCGACACCTGTGTGAAGGAGGAGACGCAAGCGCAGTTTTAGAGATTCCCAGTCTTGGAAATTTTCACCTGAGGTTGCTCCAGGTGGAAGATGAAAATGCATAAGTTGCCCAGATGACTTTGTGACATTGGCTCAGGCTTTTCTTAATCACGTTGACCTCATCCACTTGATATATCCCAGCAGCACACCTTGCTCAGAGTGGGTAACTCAGAAAATCTGAGATCCCAGTTAACCAGTTAAATCTCTTCACCTGTGTGGACTTGAGTACTCTCATCCTCCAGCAGCAAAGGTCCCCAAGACAGGGAGGGGCACGGGAAATTGGTTCCTTCAGAACAGAAACAACCCCAAAGACAAATGTAAGTCACCATTAGCAGATGACAATTCCATCTCAGGCTGAAAACCCACATCAGAATGCATCCCCGTTCTGACTCGTGCACTGAGCATGTCACTTCATCTGTCTGGGCCTTGTTACCCTCTTTTTTTTTTTTTTTTTGTAGCCTCATCTTAAGTGGGCACAATGGTTAGTTGAGTTCTCAGGTTTCTTCCCAGTCCAGTGCACTCCCAAGCGCCCCCCACCAACCCCCAGCTACGATTCTGTGGCTGTGGATTTACACTGGACCTCAAGGGTCCCACTCCAGGAGGCCAGGGCTTTCCACTTTAGTAACGGGTTTGTAAGGGGAAAAAATGTGATACTCAAACAGCCCTAGGATAAGTGAGGGTCAGTATTAAACAAGTATCACCCTTCATAAATTAGTACTGATATCTAGCCAGAACCCTTCAGGGAAAAAAAGGGACTCTTTTTTAAACAGTAAGTTTCTTTCTCTTTAAAGGAAAATTGCCAAGGATGCAGAAGGAAATGAAGATGATCAAAGATGAGGATGTGCATTTCAATTTGGGTGTGAAGAGAGCCCCCTCCTTTCCCCACTGCCTGCAGCCAGTGGTTTCCCGAGGGAAAGCTCCCCAAAGACACCCCTTCCCAGAAGCTCTCCGGGGGCCTTTTTCCCAATTTCGGTATGAACCTCCTCCGGGACACCTAGATGGATTCCCGGGGGTCTTTGAAGGAGGAGGGTCTCGGAAACGGAAGAGCATGCCCACCAAGATGCCCTACAACCACCCTGCAGAAGAAGCCCCTCTCGTCCTCCACGAGGAGAGCAAAAGCCACGGCCCTCCGAACCTCTCTCTGCTCTTCCCACAGCCCCCGCGCCCCAAGTATGACTCGCAAATGATCGACCTGTGCAATGTGGGCTTCCAGTTCTACCGCACCCTGGAACACCTAGGGGGCAGGCCCGTCAAGCAGGAGCCCGTGAAGCCCAGCGCCGTATGGCCCCAGCCGACCTCCGCTCCGTTCCTGCCCGCGCCCTACCCCTACTACCCCAAGGTGCCCCCTGGCCTCATGTTCCCCTTCTTCATGCCCTCGGCCTCCCCCTTCCCCTTCAGCCGGCACACCTTCCTGCCCAAGCAGCCCCCGGAAGCGCTGCTGCCGCGCAAAGCCGAGCCTCAGGAGAGCGAGGAGACCAAGCAGAAGGTGGAGAGGGTGGACGTGAACGTGCGCATCGACGACAGTTACTACGTGGACGTGGGCGGGGCGCAGAAGCGCTGGCAGTGCCCCACCTGCGAGAAGTCCTACACCTCCAAGTACAACCTGGTCACCCACATCCTGGGCCACAGCGGGATCAAGCCGCACGCGTGCACCCGCTGCGGGAAGCTCTTCAAGCAGCTCAGCCACCTGCACACCCACATGCTGACCCACCAGGGCACGCGGCCCCACAAGTGCCAGGTGTGCCACAAGGCCTTCACGCAGACCAGCCACCTGAAGCGCCACATGATGCAGCACAGCGAAGTGAAGCCGCACAACTGCCGCGTGTGCGGCCGCGGCTTCGCCTACCCCAGCGAGCTCAAGGCCCACGAGGCCAAGCACGCCAGCGGGCGCGAGAACATCTGTGTGGAGTGCGGCCTCGACTTCCCCACTTTGGCCCAGCTGAAGAGGCACCTCACCACGCACCGGGGGCCCATCCAGTACAGCTGCTCCGAGTGCGACAAGACCTTCCAGTACCCGAGCCAGCTGCAGAACCACATGATGAAGCACAAGGACATCCGGCCCTACATCTGCTCCGAGTGCGGCATGGAGTTCGTGCAGCCCCACCATCTCAAGCAGCACTCCCTCACGCACAAGGTACGGCGGCGGGGGCCGGCCGGCGGGTGGGGGTGGGGGCGGTGCTTGGGGAGCAGGCGCAGAGCCCTGGAGGGGAGGGGCCAGGAGCCCTTCGCCGCCCCCCGCCTGGGACGGCAGGGGCTGTGCAACCCTGCGCAAGGGGCTGCTTCCCTGAGTCCTCACCTCCCTCCTCGCCTTGACATGGCAGACGCTGAGGAGACCAGCAAGCACGTCCTTTGCCCTCCAGCCTTCTAGAGTCTAAGATGGGCCTCGAAATAAATAATGTGGCCAGTTCGGAAAAGAGGGTGAGGAAGGCCGAAGGAAACAGCAGGTCCTTGTGCTGTTGCTTCTTAGCCTCCTACAACCGCTAAAATTCGGTTTCTGGAAACGTCATCCAGGGCCCTAGCATGAGTGTGGCCTTAGGCCTCATTTACCCAAGACCAGCTCTGTGCCTGGGATAACCTAATCAGAGCCTTCTTCTAGAGACTTCTCTTGGTCCTTTGCTGCCGAAGCCGTGGCTCCGTTTTGGGTCGTTTTCTCGCTCAGCTGTGAGAACTGCTTCATATGCACATGGCTCTGGGTCCAGCAAGGCCTGCGCTTCCGGTAGTAGAGCCCCCGCCTAGTTGGGTGCAGTGCCCTGTGGTTTGTTTTGGGAGGAGTGAGAGAGTATCCTTCTGTTTGCTTTGGTTTTATCTTCCCTGGGAATTACAGGCCCGAGGGTCTAATTTCAGCCTAGCTTGCAACCAGAGCACTGGAGTCCTGCAGGATGAACTAAGGCAAGGCCCCAGTCATGTCCCTGAAATCTTACCCAGCTAAGCTGACTTGGGTCTGCTTTGAGTTTCCGGGAGGGGAGCTCTGCCCCACTGACCTCTCCCCCTCACACTTTTGACCTCAAGTGGTTTTCTTGGCGGGAGAGACTTCTAGTAAGCCAGAGTTTCTAAAACCCACTCTTTAATTCAGAAACGTCAGTGGAGGATTTTGCCCAGCCAAGAAAACATCTCTACTCTGCTATAATGGGTTTCATTTGATAGGTTAGGACACAACAGGGGCATTTTTTGGCTCTGCAGCAGAGACGAAATGTGTGGCTGGCCTGTCGGCAGTGCACCTGTAGATTCTACAGCTCCTGCCCTGCAAAAGGCACCGTAGCTTCCATCCAGAGAGGGGGCACCTGCCAAATGCAGGAACCATCAACAAAGAATCTGTACTGAGATTCAGCCACAAAGGGGACCATATGCTGATTTCAAGGACTCCTACATGTGTGGAAAAGGAGCCAAAGATGCATTTTAGAACATATAAAAATTCTGTAAGATAGTAGAAAATGAAGTCAAAAATGGACAAAACAACCTGGTATCTGAAATGTCTCATTCGAATTAGGAAACAAAACCCATTTTAATCCACAGTGTCAGCAAATAGTGAGAGGTAGTATTTACTGAACACTTGCTGTGTACCAGGTGCTTTACTTCTCATTTAATCCTCTTCAACAACTCTAAGAGCTACCTGCAGGTATCTCTACTCCAGATTTGCAGATGAAGGCACTGAGGCATGGGGCAGTCACCCAGAATCTGGGACTCCAGCTCTTGAACGCTACTGTCAACTGTTCCCCTTCTCCACCCCCTTACCTCCCTCACTCCTAACAACCCCCACGGGCTCCCTCTCTGTGCTTTCACTGATCCTATTAGTGACACAGTCACTTCCTTTGTTCCCCAAGTTGTGTCCAGCCTTGCGTTCACTTGAGTTCTAGGCCAGCCTATGTGTGAATTTTACTCTTTAGAGAATTCGGAAAACAGTGATAAGTAGATTCTTCTCCTTGGTCGCAAGACAACAGAATCATAGGCAAGTGGAGGGGCAATCTTGACAAGATGCTGAAGTAATGTTTGAAACCCATCAAGAACATAATTTTTATTCATAAAAATTAATTATAGAAGATTAATTTATTAATTTCAAAATTTTAAACTCATGGCTTGAATATGCAACATACTGTTAAAATTCATCTTCTTAGGAGGGCATTAAAATTTAGGTCTCTTTGTTAGCCTAAATTCATACTCATCTACAATCATCTAGACTCAAGAGTATTCCAGCTGGAAAGAGTACCTGATTCTCATATCCACCACCACATCTTGAGATGAGGGAGCCATCCCCAGGAGAGGCCATGAGACTTGTCTAAAGTTACACAGCCCATAAGTGGCTGGGCAGAGACGTGGACTCGCCCTTGGGTGCCATGGGCTCACCAAAACTGAAGAGGGATGTTTTATCATGTCCCGCATTAAAGAAATGGACATATAGGCAGAGAGACTCAGACCTATACTTGGAACTCCTCTCTCCCTAAGTCACTATGGATACCAGATAATATGTGTTTTATAAGGTACAATTGTTAGCTAAGCAACTTGTTATAATCCTGTAACAACCTTAGTTTTAATGCCATGGTTCTCTAAGTTTTCCTTCTGAAAAGTCATTCTGTGTTAAGATGGCTTGTAGAGGCCTTTTGAGGAAAGCACTGGTGAGTCAGGAATAGCTAATACTCTACTTACACTATGAGTCCCTGGGAGTGCTTTCAATTGAGGGCATTGATGCTTAAGAATTCAAACACTTCTCCATAAACAGCAAGGAAAGTAGAAAGTCTCCTTCTGTCCTGTTTTCTAATTCAGAAAGCTGTCCTCTGCCAAATTTCTCTATAGGGCAGAAGCTAGCCGAGCAGAGGCTCCATAGCCAAATCACAGAGGTCACCATGACCTGTGGGAGCCCAAGAGACTATTTCAAGCGTTGTGATTTATTCAAGTGTGCATAAGGATTGTTCTTCTGGGATTTTCCAGTCCATTAATGAGAACGCCAGAAAACAGTGGTTTTCATATGAGAAATGATAGTATCACTGGAGAAGGTTTTATTTTTTCATTATCAGGAAAGGTGGATTATAGACTCATTTCACATATCATTCCACAGTGCTCTTACCAAAATCCTATTAATCCCCAGAACTGTTGCTGTAGAATTAACCCCTGTAGCAGCAGGAACAAGAGCAGTAGCTTTCTTTTCCTCTAAAGGTCTGGCTTAGTTCATGGTTTTCAGAAAACGAAAAAGATTATGTAGTCAACACTTTTCAAGAAAACAGCAATTAACAAGGCTAATGCCACACCATGTGGGACTCAGCGTCTGTCACCAAGCTCTTCATGGACTTGTGTGGCAAAGAGAAAATGGAGATTATAATTCTGATGAAAGCATGTTACCTGCTAACCACAGCGTTTTTGGAATCTTGCTTCCCTCCAGGGCGTGAAGGAGCACAAATGTGGGATTTGTGGGCGGGAGTTCACTCTGTTGGCCAACATGAAGAGACACGTGCTGATCCATACCAACATTCGCGCCTACCAGTGTCACCTCTGCTACAAGAGTTTTGTGCAGAAACAGACCCTCAAGGCGCACATGATCGTCCACTCTGACGTGAAGCCTTTCAAATGCAAGGTGGGCAGTGGGCCCCAGGAGGGATGCAGCTGGGGAGGACTCAGAGGGTTGGTCTAATGCCCTGTGGGGGAGAACCTCCAGGAAACTTTCTACTGTGTCATCAGGGGGGGTCACCGAGGCTCAGAGTAGGTCTGTGGCCAACCCCAGGCCCATCTGCTGCTCTGTTCCTCTTTGCACCACCTATGCTCACACCAGCCCTTAGCCGGTCCCTGAGAATCCTGCCCTGTTTGTCTCACTGTGAAATCAGAGTGTAGGGGGGAGGAGGGAGCCAGTAGGGGAGGTCTGAGGATGGAAGGCCCATTTGGGGAATGAGGTTGTTAAAGGACGAAGGTGATGTGGAGAGTTCCCATTCCAGAAAGGAGCAATCGGGTATAGTCCTCTTCTCCTTACAAGCCAATAAGTAGAATAGAGAAAGGAGTCACAGAGGCTTCTAGCACTACCCCTCCTGTCTCATACCACCCCCCTTGCCCTCCTGACACTTGGACTGAGCCGTGTCATTTGAGGGCAGGTCTCCCAGGCAAGATGAATGAGATTCTGAGGTTAGCCCCTCTGAGGACCTCAGAAATGCTTGTTTGGGTCAGGGAATAACTGTGAGCACAGTCATCTGAAGTGTTTCTCGTTTGTTCCTAAGTACCATGGAGTGCAAGGATTGAGCATCTTCGTTAAAATGTCTGTATCAGGTTAACCTGGTTGGATTTTTATTTTATCAGCGGAGCTAACGTGGGAGCTGGAGATTTGTAAAACTCAAGGCAATGACTGGTATTAGAAATGCCTGGGCTTTCCAGACTGTTCCCCTCTCCTCCCATCCCCTCCCCACATTGCTTCCCTTCTCTACCTCCAGAGTGAGAAGGAATCTTGCCGAGGATTGGGTAGTTTAATTCAAGGAATGTACGGGCACGTGTCATCCCCATTGTGAAGAGAGGGCTGAGGGGGAAGGAGAGGGGAACCCCACCTTCAGTTAGAGCCTCTCTGTTTGAAATGGAAGTCTTCCTTCTCGGTTACTGCATGTCTGATAGGGTCCCGATGATATGCTCTGTCCATCCGAGGGGCTGTTCCTGCTTTAATCCCTCTACAGCATGTCCCCTGTCCCCCCTCCCCACTTGAAGGAACCCCCTGTGAAGCTAACTGCTTTCCTGTGTTGGCCACTCCTGGACGGGGTGAGAGGGGTCAGGAACCAGAGCTTCCCTAGACCTCTATGAGCATTCTCTGGAGGTGGGGGAGGGAGATTTCTCCCTCCAGCCCTTTCCTGCCACCCACTTGTGTTTCCCCTCCTTTCCTTCAAGTTCCCAGTGGTTTGAAAGTCAATTTATGTCCATCTTGAGTCATCTGAGCCGAAGGGGGAGGAAGCTGCATGCAGATGGAGCTACAGAATTCATAGTGTCTGGTGCAAAATGAAAATGTGAGGCCGCTTGTTCAAACATTATTAAGAATTTCAAGGTGTTAAACTCAGGACCCTTCTGAGTTGGGGCCTGTGTGACTGCATTGGTCCCATGTCCATGAAGCCAGCCCTGGCTGCATGAGCCTGTGGATTCCATATGCCACCTCTTTGCTCTCTCGTTAGGCACCCTTGATTTCCTTCCCACTTCCCACTTGAGCCCAGGGGTTTGCTCTTTCCTACAGTGGGGGTGCAAACAGGCGCTGTCGGTCACTCTTCATGTGTTACGCTGAGTGTACTCTTGGGTTTTGAGCACAAACTGTGTTTTTTATCTTATCAACTGGTGGCCGAACATGCACCTTGTTAAAACACGAAGGGAGCCATGCTTGCCGTCCCTTCCACACCTGTCCAGTTCAGCCAACTCCCACTTCCACCTCATCAATTCAGGTCCAGAAGTAGGGGTTAAACCAGGCAGAAAATATCTCTGAAACAAGGGCTATGTCAGGGAGCAGAGCCGATACAGAAAAAGGACTTGCAGGCTGGGTTTGATCTGGGGACATAGGGGCAGTTCTGTGTGCCTACCTCAAGGGCCTTGGAACGGCCTGGAGAATTTCTTGAGCCAGGTGGTATCTGAGGGTTTAGAAGGTTCTCTCTGGTACCAGTGCACAGAAGACTGCATATTATAGTGCAACCTGGGCCCAATGATCAGTGAGCCAGCTTTGCCCAATGCTTTATGGGCATTGGGCATCCACCATCCACCCCAATGATAGTGTACCATACAGGGCTCAACGGGTGCCTGAGGTTCCACTCTGTGGTTCAGAAACTCAATTTGACCTCTCCTTGAGGGTGCATTAGGCTCTGTATGTGTGCTCACACCACCTGATTGCAGGATGAAATGCCAGCTCTGAGATGATGCACAGTTTATATTCTTCAGTAGCAGATGGGCCTGTTGCAGGAATTGGACGAGTCATCTGCAAAGGCCACCTTTCCCTGGTGGAGGGGTTTTCCCAGGAGACTACACTATGGGTCAGAAGGCTGCCTAGGAGAGTGTATCTATCATTAGAAAAAAACAAGTGGCTGTTGAAAGGTACTTTAGTCAAGCAGGTGGCCCTTCTCCATTCTTAGACATTTCTGAAACAAGGACAGGGGTCAGTCACCTCACTGAAGAGCCATCTACCTCCAGGGAGGTGCCAGAAGCATCTCCTTGTCCCCATCTCCCTGCTAAGTGCTCCCCTGCTTGGTGTCCTCTTTGTGTCATCACCCTTCTTCATTTCAAAGGAATTTCAGTGCATGTCTGAGTTTACAGAATATGTGACAGGGCTCTATGTGTTTGTAAACTAGCTCCAGATCCCACTGTAGGATATTGTGTCCTGTGACTTCACTCCCCATCAGTGTCATTGTGGATTCTTGGAAATCTGGCCCTGAGTGGAGGTTGATGGGACTTTGGGAGTTGGGTATGGAATGGAGGGCCATTTGCTGATCGCTACAAAATTCACAGTCAGTCAGAGATGAGTTGCTGGCGGACTGCATAGCGATGTTGGAGAAGAGGCCCAGAAAACTCAACCCAAGCTTTATTGTGGGTAACAGGGAGGAGATGTTCCCTTTACATGACTGACATGGCTGGAAAAGGAGGCAGACCTTGCTCCAATCATGTTCCAAGAGTTAGCTCTGTCTCTTTGACCCAAAACCTTGTAAAAAGGGGAGATTGTTTAAGTAACAGATTCTACTTTCTTGGGTTTCTCACCACTAAAAATCCTTCCTAACCTAAAGCATTCCCCCCCGCCCCCAGCCCCGTTGCAACATGGACTGGCTCTCTCTGGCCCCATGCTCAGTGGAAACAGCTGTCCACAGCAAGCAGAAACATTTGCTCACTGTGAGATTAAGCATTAACAATAGGACGGAAAATTAGAGGAGAGGAGAGGTTTCCATTCTATATTTCTTTTTTTTTTTCTTAAAAAAAAAATTACTGCCCTTCTGGGCTCTTTTGCTATTGGCTCCACTTCTGGACTCCCTGCTTCTTGGAGCCAGCTGGAGGATCTCCAAAGACCTGCGCCTGTAGACTTAAGCCATGTTTCAGAAATATGCTTCCCAGATTCTGCGTAAGCACGCAGGGGTTGATTTGGATGCTATCCTTGTAGCAGCCACACTCCATAATAGCAAAGAACCAGCTGCCGTCTTTGGGAAACCTGTCCAGGAAAAGCAGCCATCCAGAATTTCCGGGACAAATTCTCCTTTGAGATGGGTGAAGCCGGGAGCTGCCTAAGTTATGAATCACCAGGTCATCTGCAGCCTCGTCTGAGGCAGAGGCTCGAAGGTGGAGGGCAGAGCTGATAGAAGAGGATGAGGTCTCCTTGGAAAGGGTCCCACCACCTTTGCCACAATGGCTTTGCTTGGCACTCCAGCTCTTGGATGCCCCATGGGGGACAAACCGGCTGGGGCCTGTGAGGGGCCCAGAACTTTGGGTCAGGGCTCTCAGGCTGGCATGGAGGGGGTTAAGGCAGTGACCAGATAGCAGCCTTTTGGCAGCAAAGCCCTCCTCAGCAGAAGGAAGGATATAGCTGTATGAACTGCCTGCTTAACAATGCCTCACATGTCCCCAGGGGCCCGCCTGCAAATAGATTTCATCTTGCTTTCTCTTGTACTTTTCAAAGCTTCCTGTTTTCTCACGGTCCTTTTGGACAGTTTACAGTCTCTCTCTCTCCCTCCCTCCCTCTCTCTCCCTTTGAGGAAAGGAACACCCTTCTTATTAAAAGAGAGAGAGAGAGAGAGAGAAGAATGTAAGGGAAGGGCAGTTTAGCAGAGGCCATTCTCCTCGGCTGCAGGCTTCAGCTCTTTGACCTTTTCTCCTAGAATAGGAAAACACAGGTTTCCTGGTGCATCTCAGTCCTCAGGCTCAGATGAGGCTGGGTGGCACGAAGCGGCATGCCTCTTCTTGGCTCTGTGGGCCTCTGGCCAGGGCTGCCTGCTGCCATCACCCAGTCTCTGCACGAAGCCGGCTTCTCGGTGTGGCTGGCTGGCTGCATTGTCACTGCAGCTCACGGGAAGTGGCCTGAGGTGCCTCCAGGCCCTGGACAGCGAGGGACGGGGCAGGAGGAGGCCAGAATTCAGAGGAGTGAACAGGGCTTCGGCCAGCTATTTAAAGGGCTGAGGATTGCGGAGCCGCATAAAGGGCTTTCCCAAAGGCTGCAATTCAGGATGACTCTTCTCTTTCCAACCACGTTTCTCAGTGCTGGGTCAGGCACAACTCCTTCCATTTCTGTACGTCTCAAGTGACCTGGCAAGTATTTGCTCAAAGGATTCCTTACTTCGTCCTCCCTCTAATATTTCCTCCAAATAATTTGGTTTAAAAAGCACTCTTACCTGTAAAGATCTTTCTATTTCCAGAATGTAAAGGAGTCTGCTATGTACATGGTAATGATAATAATAAGAGCTAATATTTATTGAGCTCTTACTATTTGGCAAGACCTTTGCATGAATTATCTCATTTGATCCTTACAACAACCTTCATAAGAAACTATTATTATCATTGACATTTTACAGAAGAGAAAATGGAGCAAGTTCTCTATCCTTTTGGGCTCTCACCATCACCTCTCTGCTCTGCTATCTCCAAACCTAATGATTCGTACAACCCACTTTTAAAGGACAGTTCAAAACATTTGTTCCAATTTTCTATTAAATGTTGAGGTCCCCCTCCATTTAAAAAGTAGGCATAAAAGTGTGTCTTTGATGGAGAAGCTGAGATTTAATGTCAGAGGCACACGAATACCCCTCATTAGAGCAACTGAGAATTCAGGAGGGGCAGACTGGTTGAGATGACCACCTGCACCATGACATCTGAGACGTCACCATTCCAGTAGCTTCCTGTATTGACAGCCACCTTAATTTAATCCCCACAGACCTTGGCAGGAGATGATTAAGCAAGTCTTGACTTGGGTAAGCTCTTAGCCTCAAACCTCATGATTACAGGGGCCTTGACATAGACTGACTGCTTTCCCCAGGAAAAGAAACTAGCATTTTGGTGATCCCTCCCAACTCTTCTTCTTCCTTCCAGTCCACTTCCCTTTCTCTACTATAATGATTCTTCTTGGAGCTCACATCTCAAACCCCACCCAAGGGTGCCATCTTTAATTCGCCCAGTTCTCTTTCTCTGGCCTCTCTTCAGTAACAGTGACTGAGAGGTCTCTCTCTGAATTTCACAGACATAAAATATCTTCTACTATGTGGATAGCCCTGTGCTTGATATTGAGGTTGGCCACAAAGAAAAGGAAGGTAGCCCTTGCATTTCAGAAGATAACCTAGGGTTCCTTTTAGTGTTAGTGCCCCAAACATCTTTCAGAGTTGACACACCTTCATTCAACCCTGCAAAAGCTTTCCATCGGTTGGTCCAGTAGGCTACCATAAACCATGAAGGATAACTCTGATATATAAAAAATAAATTTTACCATCAGCACAAAAATAAGTGTCCTCTACCAGTCACCTTCTGATAATATAGCTGACCAGTCATGCCCTACAGTGGACCTTCCCTAAAGCCATATGCTTTGACTTCAGGGAACAATATCATTTTAATGTCCTGATATACTCATGTACCACTAAAAATGTTTCATGATTTTCAGGAGTGAATGAATTGAGTTAGAAAAACATTATATTAGAAAAATACACACTGGGCTATGTTAAAGGATCATAAAATGTGGCTTGTCTAAAGCTAAAAAAGAATCTGGAAATTACTTATCAGTAGCCATTCTGATGTGTGCACACATCTCTGTGTGTTGGGGTGGGAGTGGGATGGGGAAGGGGAAAGGGAAGTGGGACCTTGGGGCGGGTGAACTGCACGATCCCTCTGACCTCTAAGTTACAGCAGCTGTGGCAACAGCGAATAGTTGGTCATTATCACAGCTGTGATCACTGTGTTGCCTATCGTTTAAGGTTGAATAGAGTGCCTGAAACTACTTAATGAAGAGAATTCATTCTGTATCAAAACAAAAACAAATGGCACCCTATACATTCTTCAAGGTTTGGCTAAAATTCCATCTCCTTTATAAAAACCGTTTCAGACAAGTCCAGATTCTAATACCTTAGCAAGTAGAGGTAATACCTAAAAGTAGAATGTCTCCTTTATAGGAGCCAAGTACAGAAGGCACCCATCTCTTCAATTCTGTCTGGTTTAAACTACCATGAGACCCATCCAAGCTTGAACTAGTGCAGTAGTCTGATCTTGCAGCCTCCAGCTCCACGTGTCTTGTGCTTAACCACCCAGGGCTTCTGCTGTTTTCAGATCTTTTGCTGCAACCTCACTCCAAATAATCAGGAACCATCCCACAAACCAAATGAGATATACTTTTTCTAAAATGAATCATGAGTGGAAATACCTAATGTAGAATCTCTAGATTCAAAGCTTTCTTTCCTCCTTAGTCAGGATGGAGAACTGGATAAACTAAGCTAAGCTAATAAGTAATACTCTACCAGAACTTCCACACATGTGCAAAGCTGAGTCACAGATTGATTCATCTTACTAAATTGTCTCTATTGAGAATAAAAGAAAGCAAGTATCCATCCCACACGTAGGGCTTCTCCCCAGGACATTAAAACTAGACCAACACTCTCAGTCTTTTCCCTCTTGGGTCACCTTTTCCACATGAATGTGGTGTGCAGATGCTCTGAATACTGAGTGTGGGACACCAGTATGCCAAATTCATTCTTGCCAGTAAGGAAGTAAAAAGGGAAAAAAGTACTTAAAACCCCCAAATATGAATCATTTAAAAATACAGAACCAATTATTCATTATCCATGCGTGGATTATCTGTGACAAAGTTGTCATCCCAGCTGGCTGCCTCTTACCACCCAGCATTCTTTTCGGCTGGCCTCCCAAGGTCATTGTTTGTTAGGTCTGCGCATTCTTCCAGGGCCAGTTAAGTCTCATCTCCAAGGCCACCTAACAGAAACAGTGCCTTCTTTAATAAACATTCAATCCAGGATCCCCAACACTATCCCTGAAAATCTCTCTCTGTGAGAAAGGAAAACTGGTGTCAGCCTCAGGGGACACTTACCTTGAGTCCTCTCTCCAAGCCATCTCTCCCCCCATCTCGCTGCCCTCACGACATGGGCCTCTGAGTTTGGGGAGGGCAGGAAGATGTTCCTTCTTAACACTCTGGCCTTAGCACAGACAGAAAACCCTTCTTTCTCTTCTTCCCAGCACAGCTGAGGGAGGGCTGGATCCTCTAAACCCTGCTCTGCTAGGGCTTGGGGACAAGAAAAGGAAGGAAAAGACCCAGAGCAGCAGATTCTGTTTTCCACCTTCTGCATCTGCATAAATTGCCTTCGAAAAGGCAGTTCAGTTCTTTCAAAAGAAGTTGGAGAACCACTGTTCTGATCCATCATGCATCTGCACTTTGTTGGAAGAAGAAATGACAAAACAACAAAAAGAAAGAAATGAATAAAACATGTTTACTTTTTGTATAGCTGAGATAATATTTTTCAGTACTTCAAATCTCTGCCCATAGAGAAGACATATTCCTTCCTTTAGCTCTCTGTTCTAATTTTGACATCCATCCCCAAAATAAGCAAATTAAAAAATTAGAAACACATTGCACGATACAGTCTAACAGAAGAGTTATGTTGAGGGGACACAGGATGGTGTGGTGGTTTACCATGTGGCCTCTGGTGTCTAGTGGCCTTAGTTCATTATCCCAGCTCCAGTACCCATTAGCTGTGTACCTTGGCTGAGTGCCTTAATCCCTCATTTTGTCCCTCTGTAAAATGGGGGTGATAACAGCACCCATCTCATGGGATTGACCTGAGAATTAGATGTGATACTCCATGGCAGACTTAGGACAGTATCTTCCATGCTATAATGCTCCATAAATATTAAACAAGTAATCATACACTTACGATTAAAGTGAAGCACACTTTGAGCCATTGTTTTTCACATCAGCCTTTATCCTTTTCTACAGCCTGCATTCAAATGAAGCTGAAATAGGTCTGCAAGTTTTGCCTTGTGTTTAAAAATCACTGTGTAATAGGAATACAATCTCATGAGTCCATTCCTACTGGCTCCACTCTGAGCCGGGCACAATCCAGGCCCTCCCTGACGTCACTGGGGACATTTCACTTGGAGGCCGCTTAAAATGCCAAGATCCAAACAAAGGAGTAGCACATCCATCCTCACGTGGGCCTGGGTGTGGGTTCATCTGGGGAGGGCCCACCACCATGAGTAACCTGTCTTATCCTCATCATTGTTTCTGACAGCTGTGTGGGAAGGAATTCAACCGGATGCACAACCTAATGGGTCACATGCACCTGCACTCTGACAGCAAACCCTTCAAGTGTCTCTACTGTCCGAGCAAATTCACCCTAAAGGGGAACCTGACACGCCACATGAAAGTCAAGCACGGGGTCATGGAGCGGGGCCTCCATTCTCAAGGTAATCACTCTTCCAGGAAGCACCCAAGGCTGCTGAGGCCAGTGGATAACAAAAGGGAGCTGAACTTGTTTTTAGGGGGCTTTACTTTGGGGGGCTATTCCTGTAGTTGAAAAGGGATCAGAATTTTCAAGACCACAGCAGAGGAAAAAGAAGAGTCTTACAATGTTACTATAACAAATAGAATGCTAATATCTGAAGGTAGTGCATAAAAGTGAATCATAGAGGAGAAATTGGAATATCCGAACGACACCCGTCAGTACCGTTACTAGTTTCTGCTCCAGACACCACATCAGGTGTCCTGTCTCCTTTAATCTTTAAACAACTCAAGGCGAGAGGAACTTCTATTACCTCCATTTTACAGGTGGGGTAACTGAGGCTTCAAGATACTGATTTTCCCAAAGCTGCTCAACTCAAAAGTGGCAGAGTCAAGATTTGAACACAGACCTTCCTGACCCTAAAGCCTTTAGTGGATCTTTTTCATCGCACTGCTGTTAAAGGACATGTGATTTTTCTTTCCTTTATAAAAAACAGGTCTGTAAGCTCTGCATTAGCAGAAGTGTACCTGTAGCAGGCTAGGTCTCCTCGTGTTCACAACCAGATGCACCCAGGGACAGTTTTCCTGCTTGGTGGGGCTAATTGGCCCATACGCAGAGCACGGGCTGCTGCCTCCCCTCACTGAGTCCTCACTGAACCAGTAAAAAGTTCTTGACTCTTCCATTTTCTCAGTCCCAGGGCCCTTAGCTGTGAAGAGTTTAGGTTCCCGATCCACTAAATTCAGCAGGTTGCTCTTTAGTCACTTAAACAAGCGGTCCTTCAACAAGCAGGCAAGAAATGCACCTCTATCCCAAACAGCACGCTACGTGCTGCCAGAGAGACCAGGGAAGTGAGACCATCTTTGCTCCCTGGAAAGTCCGTGTTGGGGGAGAGCAGGCACACACTGAGGTAACTTACAAAACGCTGTGAACTGCTGTTTTCTGATACTGGTGTGATTAAAACGCAGTGCCATGCACTTTAGAAATACTATTGTTTGTGCCCACAATTTCACAAAGTAGCCTGTGTTATTCCCATTTTATGTAAGAGGAGACCAAGACCAAGAGGCGTTATAAACTGTTCGATGTCATACACCAAATCTGAAGGCAGAACTGGGACTCCAACTCCAGAATTTCTGAATGAAGCTGGCACCCACTACACTAGGTGAACACATGGGGTGATCTGTTCTTGTTGGCCGCTTCTCCTACCCTTCTCAGAGAGCTGGTCAAATAGGCACACGTGTTCATAAATACAACACACCCGTATACCCACAGCATGAAACAGAATGATTATAGTTTTCCTATTTTTCACGGCACCCACTGAGCTTACACTGCTCCTGAGTGACAGGGAGCTGTGGTCATCACAAAACAAAGCCTAGAGTTTATGCAAAAGCTCTGAAAAAATTCTGGTTAAAAAATAAAAGCCATTTTCTTTCCCCAAGATTGGTTTTCTCCTGAATTATTCTTTGCATCTCTAGTTGCCTGAGCCAATTTCAAACATAGGCCTGGATTTTTCCAGAATAGGTGAAGTTTGTTCAGTTGCTGCGCCTGGGGACAGAAGGCAATGAGGAGACAGTCCTCCACTTGAAAGCCTACCCTGGTCATCGTGTCTTACCCCACATGGGGGCTCAAATCCTAAAAGGCACCTAACGACTCTGTCATTCTTCTGGAAAAATAAAGAGCATCACTATATATCAGAGAGATGCTTTGAAAGTTAACAGACTTTCAACAATTTTAATGTTTTCATCTACAGAAGGTGTTAGCACTTTTTCACTCTAGTGTTTGAAATGGCTCAAAAATCATGACTCAGATTAAAAAGATCCTCCCCGTGCCCCTTACATGATTAAAGCTATAGACAGCTTCATTGCCTGACAATATCATAAGGCAGGCTGACTTGGACCTTTGCCCTTATGTGCTCCCACCCTGGAAGCCTGATTGTTCCCACCTCCTCCTCAGGGCCTGATTGCTGGCTCACCAGGACCAGAGACCTTCAAGATCAAATCGGGCAGAATGTTACCATGTGTTTGTTGGCTCCTGAAAAGTCCCTCCCTGCAGGGCCCTCAAACTGAAACTAAAAGTGAGCCCCTTGCGCATGGCTATGCCCAACAGCAGAGATACTTGTGGTTGGACACAGGGGCTTTGGATCTCTTTGTGCTCTCTCTATCTGTGCTTAGGGGCCTAGTTATGGCGTGGCCTTCTTGGCCCAAAATGGTAAATATAATTTTTTCAAGATGAAAATACCTTTGTTATGGTTTTGTTTTTTCTTATGGTAAAATATATGCTCACTGAAAATAATAAGAAATATATTAGAAATGAAAAGAAAAATGTTAGAATCACCTGATGTTTGAGATTTTGATGTAAATTCTTCCAGATATTTTTTGATAAAGATAGATAAAATTGGGACTGCACTATAAATATATATGATAAATATGTTTTTTACTTAAAATATATAGAATACCTTTTTATGACTATTAGTAGGTCTCTACATCTTCTACATGTGGTTCATTGTATTATTTATCTAAGTAAACCTCTATCATTTCAGTTTCACTGTAAAAAAAAATGTGATGAGCATCCTTATACATTTTGTGCACCTGTATGACTATTTTCATAGTTTAAATTCTCAATTGTATAATTGCTCAGTCAGAGCTATGCTTATTTTAAGCTTTTGGTACATGTTGCCAGATTTACCTTAAAGGAGTTCTACTGATGTAAACTACATCTGTGACAAGGCCCATCTCTCCATAGCCTTACTGGGAATTTATTTTTATTTTTTATTTTAATTTAATTATTTTTTTTTAAGTAGGCTTCACACCCAGCGTGGAGCCCAACACAGGGCTTGAACTCACGACCGTGAGATCAAGACCTGAGCTGAGATCAAGAGTCAGACACTTAACCAACTGAGCCCCCCAGGCGCGCCTAGGAATTTGTTTTTAAAATGTAAAATGAAACTATACTAAATGGCCCTGGGTACCACACAATGACCCATTTTCACAGCTATTCCTGGGGCCTGAATATTGCTTTTGCTCTCACAGGTTTTGGAAGGGGGAGAATTGCCCTGGCCCCGACGGCAGGAGTGCTCAGGAGTCTGGAACAAGAGGAGCCCTTTGACCTTTCCCAGAAGCGTGGGGCAAAGGGGCCAGTGTTCCAGTCGGATGGGGAGAGCGCCCGGGGCAGCCCCTGCCACGAGGAAGAGGAGGAGGACACCAGCTATGAGGTGGAGCGAGACAGCCCGGGCCTGGCCCCACAGAGCAGGCAGCCCTGCACACCCCACGATCTACCCACCCAGCCCGAACCAGCTCCCAGGGCACTCGAGGACCCCTGTGAGGAGGAAGAGGAGGACGACGACGAGGACAAGCCCAAAGGAGAGCACCAGGAGAGGAGCAAGGACAGCCGTGGGGCAGAGGGCAGCCCAGAGAGAGAATTCGCCCTCAGAGAAGAGTGTCTCCACCTCAGGGCTCTGCAGAGTGCCCGGAGGGGCCCCTCCTTTTCTGATTACTTGTACTTCAAGCACAGAGATGAGAGTTTAAAAGAATTACTGGAGAGGAAAATGGAAAAACAAGCAGTGCTTTTAGGTATCTAAGTGGACAGTTTTCAAATTGCATTTGGAAAATGAGAACTAGGCAGTTCAAATATAGCTTTCTGCATGAGTTGTCATTTGCTGGAGACTGGCAAATGGTGCAAATCTTTATAAATGGCTCAGACTACATGAGCAGGGATTTGTCCTCAGTAATGTAAACGCTTCTCAGGTCTTTCCTTGGCCCCTTGATTTCTAACACACATGCAGGGTCCTCTTCAGTGCTATTTTATGCATCTCCACTATAATAGACTGTACATATTCTAGAGACCTAATTGTAAGCTGATGCCGAGGTGCTTTTAGAAATTCTATTTTCCTTTGACTAATATGCAATACATGGGAAATTTTTTTTAGTTGCAAAAATATGGTGCTTGACACGTTACCTTATCAATGATGATTTAGTTGAATGTGTGCAAGTTACCATATTTTTCCAGATAGATGAAAACATTCCTAGTTGTATATATGAAAATCACCTTTATTAAATAAGCCAACATACCAGAAATGACAAGAAGAGTGAGGTATTGAAGAGGATATTCTCAAGTGGTTGCTGCAGATATAAGAAAATATGAATAATTTCAACTAATGAAAAACCAGCAGTTCTGAGCTTCCTGCCTGGGTCTGCCTTGTTCTGCTCCAGCTGCCTTCATCAGATGTGGCATTTGGAGCGTATTGTCAGATGGCCCCAAAGTGGTCAGCGTCTGCAGGCTCACCCCTTGTGTCCTGAGCAGAGCTCCTTCCTGGAGACCTTGTTCTGAGGCCCCGTGCCCCATAAAGTAGCTGCAGGAAGAGCTGTCGCCTTGAGCAGTGGCTTTCTCCTCAGCGCCGGAGCTGGGGGCGTGGTCGGGAAGTCTTGCAATCTGAGTGCTGCTTCTTTAGAATATTAGAATCACCATCAGCTAATTACTGCTAAGGGAGATTCTGGACTGTGTTCTCAATGCTGCCTGCGCAGTAGAATCATCTAGGGGAACTTTAAAAAAAAATACCAATGCTGAGGCCTCAAGCTCTGAGATTCTGATTTAATTTGGTCTAGAGTGGAGCCCCAACTTTGGTGTCTTTTAAAAGGTTCCCCCTGATGATTCTTCTGTGCAGGAGGATCGAGAAAGACTGACTGGGCTAATAGGGTGGCTCTCTTGGACTCCATGAATATGTGTTTCTGGCTTCAGACTCATTAAAATATGGAGCAGGAGACCTTGAAATCATACTGCTGACCTAGGGCTTCTTACCTGTTCCATAAGACCCTCACAAGGACACAAACACACGCATGCATGTGCATGTGTGCACACACACACACACTCACACACTCACACACACTGTATAAACACACACTCTTTGTATTAGAAGATGATGCCTGTGATGTTTATGGTCACCTAATATGTTTAAAAATATATAGCCAGCCTACAGTGACTCATTATTTCTTCCTAGATGCTTGAATCATGATTCTAGTGAGTGGCCATGACTGTCATGGGTGGGTTGAACCCAGCCAGTAGGCTTTCCTTAGGCACCAGTGCCAAGTAAAGCAGTGCTCACGGGATGTTGCAGATCTGTGACTGACCATAAGCAGTAACCCTCTGGTACTGTGTCTGTGTTTATGTAAAAACTGCCTCTTGGTTGGTAGTTTCAACTCTTATTTGTAGAGCGAGGTACTGTTTATTGTGTTGCTTTCTCTCCCCCTCAAGTTCCAGTACATTTCTTGAGAAGACCTGGCCCGTGTCTGACTGCTGGATGTCAGCTTTTTCTCTTGGCCAAGGTGCTTCCCCCTGACACTCACTGACTTCTAATCATCCCCCCATGGGCTTTGTCAATCCCTGACGCATTTCTCCTGCCCCCCTCGCCTAAAGCTCTTTCCTTCAGCCTCACCACCACTGCAAATGCCAAAGCTGTTTGGGTTTCCTACCGCCACCTGTGTCCTGAGGTCAGGCTCCTGCAAAGGGGATGCTGTAGGAAATAGTTTGGGTTTCTGTGGGTACAAGCCCAACTCTGTGCCGGGAAAGTGTCCCAAGTCCTTGGAGGGGTGACTTGCCTTCCAGTCATTATTGATATAGTTCATTAGTGCCTCTGATCAAATCATGCAGGAGGCTGGCTGCATGGTCTGTGAGGCCTCCAGCTGTCAGGGTCCCATTACAAGTTCATTCTTTCAGTAGCCTATAGTAGTTGAAGACATACTTCCAGTGTGTTCTGGGCATGCCTCGCCAGAACCAGGAAATCTAGAATAGCAAGCTCTAGTCTTTTCCAACCAAATGAATCACATGGGAATGTTTGAGGATCAAGTTCATGTAGAGATGGAGAGAGTATGGTCTAGAATGATGGTTTCCAAATTGTGGATCAAGGAGCCAGAGGTCCCTCTTAGGTCCCTCCAAAGCTGCTAGAGGAGAAGGAGAAACTCTCAGCCCTCACACCCTCTTCACTCAAAGTGGCTCACATTTCATCTGTTTTTCATGTTAGCCTTTCAAGTAAAATTTCATTTTGAGGGGAAAAAATGCCTAAGAAAAGTAATTTAAAAAGTGTTAGGAAGTGTATTATAAAGCCTGCTTTTAGTTCTTGACTCTGGGTATGAGAGACTTAATTAGATCTAGCCTGATGATAAATATAAAATATACACTGACCTTGTGAGAATTAAGGCTAAAATCTTGGTTTTGTATGTTGCTGAGTGACCACCATCCTGACTTGCCTGGACCAACCCTGGTTTATACCTCTGCCCCAAGATAATTGCTAAGAGTATTACCTCAACTCTCAGAAGTATCCCAGTTTGGGTGAGAAATTACATGGATACCTCATGTGTAAGTGCAGAGCTAAGGGAAGGTTGGCCAACCTTGCCTACTGGGCTAATTAATGAGAATGCAAACCTGAAGGACAGCACGTGGGGGTCACCCTGAGAGAACTGAGGGGCAAAACCGTCCAAGGTTATCAGCACTCTAAGGGCTAGGGCAGCATAACATTCACCCTCTTGTAACACTCTGAAAATAGGTCGCTACCGAAAGCTTTCCAGACTTTTGACCGCTGTCACTCTGAAACAGCCAACTGACCAGCCAAGTGGCGTATTTCTCTTTTATCCTTTTTATTCAGGCCTATGATCACCTCCCTCTTTTTGCCTTCTAATTCCTCTCTCATTCTTTCTTTTTTAAAAAATTTGACTCCCCATTGGCCATAGACTGAGGCTGACCTTTCATAACCCCACAAGGGTAACTGGTATATTTGTATATGAGTAGCGGCATGAGAAAGTCCAATGTGCATACTGTATTTATTAAGCCCTAAAGACATTTAATAAAATATTAACATCGCATTTTGAATCATGATCTTTGTCTGCTTTGCTGGAACAAAATGTAACAGAGCTAACATTTAAAATCCTTCGCATATTTGGACAACATTACACCAAATGTTGATTTTGTACAGAATTCTGGCTTGCTATTTAAATATGAAAACTCCAAGTATGTAGTAACCCAAGTTGTGAATATCGCTTTCTGCTTCAGTGGAAAAGCAGTTTACCTGAAAATAGCATGTAACCTATATTTTGTTAATTTAAGCAAATAAAGACATGTTGAAAAGGCTGAGTTAATTATTTGCAAATACCTGAAATTTTGCTAGGAAACCAGCATTGTCAGTGTCTCGCTCCTGCCCTCATCCCTTCTGCCAGAGTAGTTCCCTTTGGGGCTTCAACCCCAGGGAGATAGATGTTGGATTCTCCCTGCCTCAAGGTTTCAGAAAGGATTCACGAAGCTCAGACCATCTGCAGGGGGGTGACACTTTCCTCATCCTCTTTATCTTGCCCATTCAGAAAAACTAGTTCTGGAAGGGTGTCATGAGGAAGTGGGAAGTGAGCGGCAAGATTGCCTTACTCTGCGTCAAGTTCTTTGTAGGATACAGTCGAACCAAGAGGCCATGTACTATACTGGGCACGAGCATAGGTTCTGGTGTCAGGTTCCTGGGTTCAAAGCCCAACTCTCCTACTTGCAATCTTTGAGACCTGTGACTGGTTTGTGAACCTCTCCGTGCCTCCGTTTCCTCACCTGTGATAATGGGATTCGGAACCTTCCTCACCAAGTTGTTTGTAGGTTAAATGAGTTAATATATGCAGGACACTTGAAAAGTGCCTGGCTCATGGTGCATGCTATGTGAGAATTTGCCATTATTGTCACCAACAAAGTGGCCAGAAGACAGAACACTCAGCTCTCCCTTCTCAGCTTACAACGCTGTGTCGACATGGAAAGTCGCCATTTCTGAGAAGGCTTCCCTTTTAAACATCATACACCACTCCACACCACGCACGGTGCTAGGTGATCACACACTTGATTTTATTCAAACCTCACACAACCCTGAGAGGCAAATTTTATTTCCATTTTACTGATGAAGAAATGGAGGCTTGGCAGAGTGAAATAAGTTGCTCCAAATGACCTAGTTAGCAAGTTCCTCATTTGCCGCCAAAGCATGTACCAGGTTGGGTTCTTTGGGAGTAGATGATGAGACAAATCTGGGTGCAAGATGTTTTCCAGGGATTAGAGCCAGTGAAAAGAAAGGGGAGGAAAGAAGGCTGAGTAAAGAGAGAGGACAAACTGTGTGTGATACAAGCCTGCTAAGCCTCACTCAACATAGCAGGTAGCTCATCGCAAGGATTGCCCATCAGAGTTGTGCCATGTTGAGCAGAGATGCCCAGGCCTTTGCACCCACCCCCTTGCTCAGTCACCAGGTATGGGCTGCCCTGGAAAGGGCAGGACCTCAGGATGGTGTGACTCTGTAGCAGGGACAGACCTTGAAGGAACTAGTGGCCAGAGGTTGTCTACTGACTGACGGCTTGATACAAGTCCTTCCTTGAAGAGACACTGCTTGACTCATCCCTTGTCTACCACGGTCCACCCCTTGTATGACTCCAGTCCACTTGTTCATGTACGTTCATGGAACATCTCCTCCAGCATACCAGTGGGCCTCTCTTTCTGAAGGAAAACTTAGAAGAGGAAGATGAGTGGGAAAAACTTTAGCCCCCACTACTGTAATTAGCCTAGGAGACACAGCCAAAACTCATCTTCTCCTTCCTCCACTACCTGTCGGGATCCCTGTCACCATCAGATACCACCTCTGCCAGTCTCAGAACCTGCCAACACCTTGATCTTGAAATTCCCAACCTCCAGAATTGTGAGAAATAAATGTTCATTGCTAAAGCTACCCAGTCTATGGTATTTTGTTATAGCAGCCCAAGTGGACTAAGACACATGCCCTTTTCAGAATGAAGTTTCTATACTTGTTCATTTGTAGTCACAAGTAGGAAAGGAAGTACCAAAAGAAACCCAAATGGGTGATCTGGGTTCCACATGTATTCCTCCATGACCCATTTTGTAACCACAGCCTTCTCCCTCCTGATGATTAGGTTGATTACCTCTGCCAAAATGGTGACTCCGTTCTTTATCTGCTGGTTCCTGGAGACAAGGAACAAAAAATGCCGAGATAGCAGCTGTAGCTTCTAATTCAATGGTACCCTTGCTGTATCCCCAGGTGAAAGTGTATCCCTTTTTGAGGATGAGAATCTCTAACCCTGCAGAACCCAGAGTGACAGGGATGAGAAGTATAACAGTGTGTTACTGTGAGTATTGACAAGGGCCGGGGGGTGGGGGGCACTCCTGTCTCTACCCTTGGAAGTATAGGTCTGTTCCTATGACAAAGAAAACCCCTGGATCTTCAAGATGAAAAGGACTCAATATAGTCAACTTCTCACTAAGTGACCGGTTGATCTTCCTAAGCAATGGTGCCATATTGGAAGGTCAGCATCAGTCTTTGTTGCTGGTGTGTTGGATATTCAGCAGTGATAAGAGTTAGATCATTCTTGGTAAATGTACTTTATGCTGTTGGGCACATGTGTAGCCTCCATATCTATCACTGTGGCTACTTCATATGTTTTTTGTTCTGTTTTGTTTTGTTTAGCACTGGAGTGCCTGTTGATAGGGGGATGAAGTCAACTGGCAAGGTCATTGTCTGCCTGATTTTTTAATTTCTCTTCCATGGTGCATGCAACCTGGTGGATGTTAACATGTGATACCAAGATTTTCATTCTTGTGTTCACTCTCATATGTCCATCCACCCTACAAAGAGAATAATAATGAATACCTACTTTAATTAGAGGGATCAGGAATTGTCTCTCTGAAAAAGTGACATTTAGTTTGAGAACTTAAGGATATAAGGAGTCAGCCATATGGGGAAAACCAGGGGAAGAGCATTCCAGACAGAGTAGACAGCATGTGCAAAGGGCTGTTGTATAGGGAACATGGCCAGTGAGACACCCAGCAGGGACAAGAGTGATGTAAGGAGAGGCTGACATGGAAAGCCACTGGGCAAGGGGGGTGAAATGATGAGATTTACATGTTCTAAAGCTCATTCTGGCTGTAGTGTGGAAGACGGGTTGGAAGGAAGCCAGGATGATGTTGGGAGACCACTAAGAAGCAGTTTTAATAGTCTGTGAGAGTTAACATTGGCCTTGATTAAGGAGGTAGCAAGGAAGAGTTAGGAGTGGACAGTTCAAAAGCTCTTTTGGGGGTCCAGTTGGTTTGTTCTATTGAAGGCTAATTGTCATAATAACAAAAATGTATATTTTTCTAAGTACAAAATAAAATGCCACTTAATACAAAGTCTATCTCCTCACATAATGATAGAAGGGATGAATTAGAGTCTCAGAGCTATCATAAAACCCATGCTCTTTACTCAGTTGGCAAGAGAGCATATTTACCAAGTAATGTAGGTAGAATTAAGCCCATCTGGTTTCTTGGGTTTTGTTCTGGGTTACAGTTGCTGATGAAATAAATAGTCAGGACCAAAGAAATCAATGAAGCTTCTCAGACAGAGATCCTGACAAGGAATGGCAGAAGTGAGAACAAATGAGCACACAATTAGAAATCCGAAAACCAAGGAAAGACGCTAGAACTCCCAAGACCACAAGCGAGGCTGCAAAAAGTCCTTTTTGTCTCTGTAGGCCCTGAGGACATCTCTGATGCAGCCAGTAAAATAATGCATGTTAATAACAATGAACTTGCCTGTTTATTCACTAGATGCCCTCCAAATAACATTTTCCTTTTAAGCTCTTCAAAGGGTTACAGTACCGTCATCCGGAAATTTTTATCCAGTGCACACATTGTTCTGCAACAATGCAGAATAAATGGGATATTGTCATATTTTAAGTCCCCAAATGGAATTGGCCCACGGCACCACAGTCAGCACCCGAAGAAGAAATAAAACACAAAAACGTGTGGAAGGAATTGGCTCCTGTCCTTAAGGAACACACAGTTCCTAGAGAGGCCTATGGAGGCTGGCAGGAACATGGCTAATGGTTTTTCAAACCTCCAAAGCCTTCAAACTGAAAACTGTCTTCCCTGTGAAAACCCAGGTGTGAACACGGCCTGAATCCTGAGATGCTGCGGCATTTCATGGTTTTGTACTGCAGAGCCGAGCCGAAAGTAACTTCCAGTAACTTCCACTACAAACTTGCTGTAGCAAGTGGAGGAAGACATGCTCATTTGATAGCTGGGGAGTGACCCTTAGAGGGTCCCGAGGGACCCAGTATCAGTGGCGCTCACTGCTTCCTCTGCCCTGGATGCAACAATATATTAAGAGAGAGAGAAAAAAAAGAGGAGGCTGGTTCTTTTCATGATTTTCCTTTTTAATTTTTGTTGAAAATGAAACTGTGTTCTCTTGATCCTTCAAACAAATGGAGGGGAACTGGAAGCCCAAACGTTTCTCTTCGGCTCCCCAGAGAGGGCGGCTGTGTTTGTAGTGTGATGTGGGAAAAGTGCTTGTGTGTCCGCTGCATTGTCACGTCGTACCAGCGTGATTTGCAGTAGGAAGTGTGCGACAAATACAATCTTTATGTAAGAGAAAGTGATGGAGCCACAGTCTTTGAATCCAAAGATCTCAGTTTGCCCTTCCTCCCTAAGACGTGCTTCTCCTGACCACAGCAGCCCCCCATCCTCATTAGATGATGAAAGAAACACAAGAACACTCTCTGAACTTGACCCAACATTGTCCAGCCAGAAATCTTTGTTATTCACAATGCCCTAGGGCAGGGCAGGGGCGACAGGAGGGAACTTGGAAGGACATGCCAGAGAATACAGAAGCGTTGCGAAGAGGGCTATTAAAGTTTCTGGCATCACACCTGAAGAATCATTTTAAACTGATGTTTGCAATATGCGTTGCGAGTCTTCACTGGGCGGATCTTAATAAACAAACGGTCTTTGGAAGGAAAATGAAGAGATTACGTTAAGAGACATCTAAAAGGATTATAAAGATACTTCTTCCATTTTAGCAATTCATCATTGTAAGCACACTGGCAAATAATTTTGTTTCTTCTTCCAGAAAGTAGTAATAATGAAACTGTTCTCCAACTTCTGTCAGGAGAGGGGAGGGATGAGGTAAAATCTATTCATCATTCTGGACTTGCAGAGATGATAGCTGTGTCATTTGCCATTGTTGAAGGACAGCTTCCCTTCCAACTTGTCACAAGCCTAGCCTTTGCTTAGAGTGGCACGTTCTCCAAATCGGGCTAATATTTAAAATCCTCAGCTGTGGTTTTGAA